GTAGGCACCTCGGAATGATTGTGTTAAGCTAGCACTAAGTCCCTTCCCCATCCACCTTTATTCTTTTCTTTACAATAAGGCTTTCAAATAAGTCATGGTTGTACGGCAGTGAAGCATCGGTGTTGAACACTGATGTCATGCTGTCGTTGATGATGATGATGGTTGCAGCAACTCTGTATACTTAGCGGACTTGAAGCGCTTAGCATATCGTGGAGCAGAATTATTTGGATTATTTAATTATGCCTGCATTACCATGCCATCAAATCCTTGAAGGGATATGTTGTTTGCGTACTGGATATCTGTGAGCAAACATCTTGGGGCGATTTGTACTGCATACTCATTAGAGGCCGAATGTGAGTCTTTCGTGATCTCATCGATGGCGACCTTGAGCATTTGACTCAAGTGTGTGACAGTGGGAGGAGGGATGGTTGTGTTCATGGGCCTTGCCTGTTGCTTCTGACTCAAAAGTCTGGCCCGTAAAGCAGCTGGTAGTAGGGTTTTCTTGAGGGATCTTGCCTTGAGCATATGAAATAAGGCATAGATATTTTACTCCTGATGCCATCGTACACAGCAGGTGCGTTAGTAGCCACATCGGAATCATGGCAACTTTTATTTGTTTCTCAACCGTGTCATATAATTGGCCTGCAATAACAGTCAACCGTCTTTCCCGATGTGAGTACAGCATAGCTGCTTCCATGCTGGTTGCCCCGGGAAACATCTTACTGTCTCCCAACTCCCATCTCAGTACAGTACGACTCTATCCCCAGAGCACCTCGTAGTAAGGGATCTCACTGCTCTTTGTCTGACTGTTCCTCTTTGGCCTTCCTGGGATGGTTGCACCTCTCTGAACGAAGTTCCAGTTAGTGTAACCCGATGGATTATTTCAGCACTCAAACACGACTGCCACACCAGACTGGTAGTTTCAGGGACAGTTCACATTAAGCTTTTCTATTGCGAATATCCCCGCTTTCGCACCAGAGCCTTAGAGAAGTGAGTTAACATTGCTATACAACCTTAGAGTATCAACATTCAACACCTTCGTCATATGTACTAATGATAATAAGAATATTGCCTCTGATTTTCGTCTTCTGGGATACACCGTTTTTTTTTTTTCATTTCTATGGACCTCAGGCCTTCTCGATATCTCTCCTTCGTTCTTCTCTCTCCCTCAGGGTCAGCTACTCTCGTCAATACAATGCTGTGTTTGTCCAAAACGATCATCTCGGTTCGATGCCTTCATGTGTCTTTCACTACCCTTACCAAGCTACTCATCGTGCAATCTACAGGTGAGTTTATTTCGGTTATGGTCTGTTAACCTTTAAGCAGTTGTAGGATTCTGTTCAATTCAGCTCCAGTTCATTACATTGGAGAGTTTGTATGCACTTAGTCGATTATCCCAAGAAAACCCAAGGCAGTGAACTCAAGTTTGAGCTCATCAGTAGTGTTGGGATTCGAACTTTGATCTCTCAGCTTCACAGCTGTTACCACTGCTCCGCAAGCATACCGTTTGCCTCTCAGCTTCACAGCTGTTACCACTGCTCCGCAAGCATACCGTTTGCCTAATTGAAGCATTACACTCGAGCTATGCAAGTAGCTCTTGCTTCACGCCCTTTGCAAGGCCTTTGTAATGCGGAACCTTCCGTGTAAACTCAACTCAAATTGCTGTGCAACTGAGTGTATTTGTTGAAGTATGCCCACTCTGGGTTCATGTGGAACATAGGTTGATGGGAACTCGGGGACTACGCCTGTCTGGTGAGCCCCAACCTTATGAGTAACGTATTACGTCTATACAACGTATCGCGATCTCTCGAATATCGTAGTGACTGAAACATGAGGCGGCCTCGTGCAGCACATTCAGTTGTCTGGAAACATCACAAAGGAGAGATTCAGCTGGGTTCCAGGTGAGTCTCTCGCAAAACCAAATTAGTTTTCAAGTGAGTGTATTTCGCTAATTTCGTGCAATTTGGTTTCAACCAGAGCATAAGGCTGACGGAAACTCGTGGACTGCACCTACCTGATGAGCCCCAAGAAGGGCGAAACCGGTCGTGTGCTGTCGCCAAATTTTCAGCAACCTTATCAGTAGTGCATTACGCCTTTACAACGTCTCGCGATATCTAGAAAATCGTAGCAACTGAAACATTAGGCGGCTTGGTGCAGCACATTCAGTTGCTTAAGAACATCTTAAACAAAAGATTCAGATGGGTTCCTTGTGAGTTTCCCGTGGAAACCGAATTGATATGCAAATGAGTGTATTTTGTCAACTCATTACCTTCCAATGTTCTGTCCATAGCTTCAGTGAGTCCCAGTAACAAGGTGTATACTGATGATAAAATATGCGAATAATATCTGGTCGAGCCAGTTCAAAGTGCCGTCGCCGCATCTGATGGAAGATTGACTTGGAAGTCATTGAAATGTCTGGCAATGTTCGTTCATCAGTATTAAATGTTCAGACAACGTTCAGGAAAGTTCGGAGCCATGTTTGAGGATTTTCACCTCTTTATGCAGACGAGGATTTTTTTGCTTTCGTGTCCGATTGTTTGTAACTCCTGTGTTCGTGTTTTTCCTTACATTCGAAGGTAGCTTTCTTTTGGCTTGAAGATTCTTTTCGCGCTCCCATAATGATTTTACCTGTTACTTAAGCTACTGACAGGGTATCTACTGAAGGATTTTCTGCAATCCGAAATACCCGCCTATCTATCGTTCCTTCTTTGTCATCATCAGACTGTCTGGAGTGAGGTGTAATTAGCACCTTCGTAGTAAACGCGTCCTATGTTGTTGAGCAAAGAGGGCTCTCATCACCCAGGCAAACACTTTGTTAAAGAGAATGTGCGCCTACATAAAGGGAGCTACTCACAAAGTTGCTGACAACTCTTAGACAGCCCACAACCGACTTCTTCCTTCTTGGGGCTCATGAGATGGCTTTCAGTGGATGAACCTCATGCCGTTTTGCTTACGTTCAGATGATGCACAGGCGGACGTGAACCACAAACCAGATGACCCCAGAAACTCGCCTAAATACGCCATCGGTTGTTATAATCAGACCACTTCTTGAGCATGAGAACTCACCGCTTCTTTCTGACCAGCTATTTGCTGTTTCTTTAGGTTGAAAAGCACAAACTTTAGACGACGAACTTTATCCCTTTGTCTTGTTTGCCTCACGAGGACAGCGCCGTTCCTCAGGTGTTGTATCGTCGTCACTCCACTTTCATGCACAAAGTCAGCCCTTAGTTTCGCTGTACGGACTCGCGTATTTCTCCCACCCATTTACGGAATTGAGAGTGCTCAATGTACACTGAGATGTCTAGTTGGGGTTGAGCTCACTTTCGGATTGAACGCTGACACTGGCTAGGGCATTACAAGCGGACAAATGTCGATCCCCCAAATCACAACGACGTCT